GAGTGATGACGCCTGCAGTACATATTAGGGGAGTAAAAACACTAACCAAAGGAGAAAAGCTCAACGGACGGAAGTGTACTGTTTAACGAGTTACAGAGAGCTCCAGTGAATGCGTCAATAGCTAGACATATTAGTGAGTGCCTACAGGACAGAAGAAAGCAAACTGTCTTAAAGAGAGTAACCAGTTCTGGTTAGAAGCAACGCTTAATAGTGAAAACTTGATAGATAGAGACTTGGAATGCAAGTGAGAGGAGAGAGAGAGAAACTGTAAAGAGAGGTGAGACAGGGAGAGAGAGAGGAATAGGAAAAGAGAAGAGAGAGAGAGAGAGAGAGAGAGAAAGAGAGAGAGAGAGAGAGAGAGAGAGAGAGAGAGAGAGAGAGAGAGAGAGAGAGAGAGAGAGAGAGAGAAACCTGAGGAAGACACATAGAAGACTTGAAAATTTAATCATAGGGTATCTACTATTAAGAACTATCGTGTACTAATGTATGCGTGTAATTCAAGAATAGAAAAGCAGTAGAATGAGTAACTATAATATTTCTGATAATCTAAGTAAAGTTACCTATAAAGTGCAGAGGGGAAAAAATCCTGTGTGTATCTATGTAACAGATTGAAAGAGAGCGTTTTTGGTCCTCGTACTTTCCATTTCATTGGGTGATGTGTTCATGTCAGCTCCATCTAGGAAACAGACGTCGAACTTCCAGACGGGTGGATTTGGTGACATGCAAGTAAACACAAAACGCGCACTCGGAAGACTGAAACTTATGGTGACGCTTTGGTTCGACTTGGACCATTAAGTTGTCACACACAGAAGCGTGAAGGGAAGGGAACCAGAACATGTACGTAGTAGCTAATAGCAGTAACAGTGGTAGTAGAAGTAGTCGCAGTGATAGAGGTCGCGGATAAGATGGTGGTAGTAGTTGGGAAAAAAGGGGAACAGAATGGATTGTTAGTGAAAATGGTGACGGTAGTAATTAAACGGATAGTAGTTAAGTAGAGAAGGCATGAGGAAAGTATGCCAAGGAAAATAGAAAGAGAACACCGCAGAAAGCTAATGTCCAGAACAAGAAGAAAGGATAAAATGCCATTCCGAAAAAAAACTATAGAAAATATAACCAGGAATATAAATCAAGAATAAGAAAAGTGAAATATTGATGTATTATTCTGTTCACCTCACCCTCATTTCAGCTAAATATATATATATATATATATATATATATATATATATATATATATATATATATATATATATATATATATATATATATATATATATATAGCAACGCTCATCTTGCCATATAGGACAGAGAAAATTTGTATATGCAATAATTTCGCCAAAATCATTCTGAACCTAACGAAAAAAAAATATTTCACTGTGTTTGTTTAGTATTAAATTATTGTAAACAAATCTAAAATATATTTAGTTGGGTTAGGCTAAAATAAATTGTTCTTCTTATAATAAGGTTAGGTAAGTTTTCTAAGATTCTTTTGTAGCAAAATTAAGCATTTTTACATTAATATTAATGAAAAAAATATATCTTAAAGTATAAGATAAATTTTAGAAGGACACATATATATATATATATATATATATATATATATATATATATAAAATATATATATATATATATATATATATATATATATATATATATATATATATATATATATATATATATATATATATATATTAGTTTTAGGTAGAGCAAGAGGCATATAATAGAAACATTTATATCAGCAATATTAACAGTGTAAGTTAAAGTAATAGAATTAACAATAGCTGGTTTAGTAATAGAAGTAATATTAACAACAATAAAATATATTATATCCCCTTTTTGTTACAGTTATGATAATATAACGGAAAATCACTAAAATTATTACAATTCTAATGAAAAAAGTTGGCTAGATTTTCAGTACTATTACATGGGCAAATTACAGTAATGACTATCGTGTATATGCATACAGATTCCCCAGCCCACCTGAAGCATCACATGACACCACAGTACCTCAGCCATTCAACATCTGAATATAACATATTATGTTTCCTGAGCGGAATGTAATTGCATTTAGATTCCTTTACATCCTCATCTGAATGCATTTCCTCTCTTTGTGTTCAGCGCTTTAATGAAAAGATAAATATATATATACTATATTACATATATATATTATATATAATATATATATATATATATATATATATTAATGTGTGTGTGTGTGTGTGTGTGTGTGTGTGTGTGTGTGTGTGTGTGTGTGTGTGTGTGTGTGTGTGTGTGTTTGTTGTGTGTGTGAGTGTTGATTTTTGTGTTTGGGCGGAGACCCGAGGAGGCCACTTTCATGTTCCAGGGCCTAAGTGTGGCCATCCAGAGGGAAAATGCTGCATGCTCGGCTCGCATCTGGCTTCAGAGGAGCTGGAGGAGATTCATAATCTTTGATGTAATTTACCAATGTATTCATGTTTGTATTTTTTTGTCATTGTACTCTGTCCATAAAGTTCACATAGAGTATAGAATATAGGGGGTGGTAGGAGAAGAAAATATTCAAACATCTCGGGAGAGAACCTTGAGTTTTCCCTGAGGTACGTTTATTGTCTTCTCTGAGGATGAGGGTCCCCAGTACAGTTCTAGAGGTGCGTGTATATATATATATATATATATATATATATATATATATATATATATATATATATATATATATATATATATATATATATATATACATGTATATATATATATATATATATATATATATATATATATATTATATATATATATATATATATATATATATATATATATATATACAACACACACACAACAACAACAACCAGTAGCGATGGGAAGGAAAATGATGTTGCTCAAGGCCTGTCTCGTTACAACTGCAACGTTTCTTCAGGAGCACTACAATAAGAAGAATGGAATGCAGGAGAGCTCAGACAGGTGTGTCCAGGGACGCAGTCCTGCCAGGAAAGACGGAAGCCAGCAGCTAGAGACCCCCAACAAGGCAGCAACCTCAAGTGCTATATGTTAAGGAAAATACTTTAAATAAGGACGATAACGACAGCTAAGCCGATAAGTTTCACAGAACTTGGTAGTTAACGAAAATATGTAACCGTTTAACTTGTCAGTAATCATCAAACGGCCGCCGAATGTACTTTCATTTTGATTAAAAGAGTAATAGGCAATTTTGTCGTGCTTCCAGCACAATTCTATCATCACCTCTATGATCTGGGAGTTGTTTCCATTGCTCGATTCATTCTTTACTGAGGACATTATACATAATCTTAAACCTGTATGCTTTCACAAATGCTCGTGACTGCTTTAGCACGAAAATAGGAGAAGGTAACAAGGGTAACAGGTCGCAGGTTCTGTTATTTTTTTTTATATTATTTTAGCTAATGTGGTCTCAATTGATGTGAATTGAAAAGGGAATAAAACTAGGGTTTTGCTTGAAATTTTGTGGCCTTTAGGATAGTTAAATAAGAAAACGATTACAATTACAACAGAAAACTGCCGTAACATAATGATCATATTAAAGGAGTTGCATGAGTCTCATCATAATCGTCATTTTGTTGTTTATCAAAATGTTTTTGGAGCTCCAAGATATGTAATTGATACAGTGATTCCAAGTCATTTGTTGTGGGTGAGAGTTCGACCTGACCAGCTTGAGTGGGTAGGCCTGCTGCGGTGCTCCTTCTTGAGCAGTGTGGCTTGCACCTGCCTAGCATGGGACAGCGGGCTAAAAATTGAAGTAAGAAAATGCCTCCAACTACTCTGAAAATTCGAAATGTGTAATTTGAATGTATAATTTTAGGAACATTTCATATATTTTTTTAAAAAATCTGTAAAATATTAAAAAATATTGGAAAATGGTCTAAAACGTGCTGCAGTGCTCCTTATGTCCTTATGAGCTTAAGTATTTATATGCTAATAATGGAAAACTAGAACATGATGGCAATAATAATAATAATAATAATAATAATAATAATAATAATAATAATAATAATAATAATAATAATAATAATAATATGAAGTAATAATAGTGATTTAAATGCCAAATATAATAATGCTAAGAAAATAAATTGAATTAACTTTTCCTAAATCCACGAGGACAATGCATCGTTCCTACGTAATTAGAACAAACAGTTAGTTAGTTAACTGTAAAACCTAGTTAACAAAAATTAGTCATATAACAAAGTTACAAAATAAAATATTTAGTCATATCAATTGACGGTTATCACGGGAGTAATAATGATCGTAAAAAAATGAGTAACTGAGAGTTATGTCGATTATTATTAAGCCACCAAGAATTATTAAATAAAGTTAACCAATAATAATGGATAAAAAATCAGTGAATAAGTATAATTTGGTCCATCCAGTGAGATAAACCAGTGAGGTTAAATTTCGACATATTCACTGAAGTCAGTCAGTGACGATAAAGGTTTTTCCATGTAGTGAAATAAACCAGCCGAATGCTGCTGAAAAATCATTAACCAAAGTATAATGAGAGTAGAAAATCTCTGTAGTGTTTAATTTAAAGCTAAACTTAATCAACCTGTTATTTAACCTTATTAAAGGCAATTTTAAAGTTCACTTACAAGACACAGCTAATAAACTGTTATTTTAAACATTCATTAAAAACAGACATCAAAATCAGTTTTAAACACTGTTATTTAACACAGTTATTAATCACATATATTAACAGTTATTAATTACATATATTAACACAGTTATTAAACCCAATTGTTAAACAGAGTTATTTAAATCATACGCTAAACACAGTTTTAAAACGGCTATTAAGCCAATGGCTATTAGGTACATTTATTAAATGCGGTTATTAAGTAATAGTTATTAAACACATAGCTGTTAATACAGACATCACTCATAATTGTTAAACTCAGCTAATATATTTAGCTTTGACATTCATCTCTCTCTCTGTTTCTCTCTCTATCTCTGTCTCTGTCTGTCTGTCTGTCTCTCTCTCTCTCTCTCTCTCTCTCTCTCACCTCATTCAGGGCGTGGATATCCTCAATGGTAATGACACGATCTTTGTTGTGGTCGAAGACATCAGTGAAGTAATAGGTGAACTTCTCCACTTGGAAGTCCGATAGATGAATCTTGCCCTCGTGAGGCTGAAGGTCGTCATCGTCCTCGAAGGGTCGTCGTACCCACGTCGCTGTGGGGAGATAACGAGAGAGTGAGTGAGTGAGTGAGTGAGTGAGTGGAGATTGCGAGTGGGAGTGGGAGACGACTGCAGTGAATGGGTGACAACGAGGGACAGTGAATGGGTCATAACGATGGACAGTGGTTGATAAAGAGAAGAAAATGAGCAAATTAGAGATAAAGAGAGATAATAATTGGGGCATAAGGAGAGATAAGGTAAAAAAGAAGAGAAATACAAACAAGAGAGAAATCAAAATATCAGTAACATGATAAAAATATAAGAATAAGTAAATGAAGCGGATGATTGAAGAAGATACTAGCACTGAAAAAAATCTCTTGATCCTCGGAATTGGAGCAACTCTCCCATATCCTTGGATTAAACCTGAGTAACACCCAATCCCAGGTCCTTCCTCCCATTTGTAATATAAATGAAAATAAAGGCTCACGAAAAAAGGGATAACTAAAGATACGAACAAATAAACTTAACATCTTTTAACAAAAGAGAAACATTAAATAAAATTTGATCGACGGAAACAGAAAATTCTGAAACTTAATTAGACTTTAATGAAACTCAAGTTCCGAGATATTTAAAAGTCAGAACTTAACGAAGAATAAAATAATAGGGTCACTGGTAATAATAATAATAATAATAATAATAATAATAATAATAATAATAATAATTAATAATAATAATAATTAATAATAATAATTTATAATAATCTGAGTTTAAATTTAAAGAAAAAAATAGGGTTATTGGTAATAATTATTATTACCAATACCCCTTTATTTTTTTTAAGCTCAAACTCTCAGATTATTATTATTATTATTGCTATTATTATTATTATTATTATTATTATTATTATTATTATTATTATTATTATTATTATTATTATTATTATTATCATCATCATCATCATCATCAATCTGAGAATTTAAACTTAAAGAAAAAAATAATAGGGTTATTGGTAATAATAATTATTATTATAATGGTTAATACAACTGAGGGAGTGATAGATGATAGTAAGTATATTATACCATTACAGATCAAGACAATGATCATCTAGTAACAGCTGATTTGTCGCGTGAGAATGTGAGGTGAGGCGAACATTGTGCTATATCGCAAATATGATGTGGTGGTGACGCGAATATACGGTGCGGTGGTGACAGGAATAGGGTTCGGTGGTGAGACAACATACTGCGTTAGTGACAAATGTGCTGCGGTGGTGCTAATGGGGTGGTGACATATCATGTGGTGGTTGCTTAACTATGGAGAGGTGGTAATGCAGACATAGTGCCGGTGTGTCGTATAAACACAATTTAGTAACGATTCAGAAAATATATGGAACGGAAGTAATCAGAGTGTGACAAGGTTATAAACACAGCTTGAGTGCAATGCAAACATGGAGTAGCGGAGACGTAGAGTTTCGCAGACGTAAATATGTATGGCTGGAAAGTAAAAAAAAAAAAAAAATAAGAGAGATATACTTGGATTACTGATGTCTGGCCTTTATTACCTCCATCTTACGTGGTTTTTGGACCATGGTTTGAAAGAAGAAATAGGAACATGTCTCCTGACGTGGGTAGTAGTCATGTGATGATCCACCCAGCCCTGTACGACCCTTATGGGTTTAAAGCTATAAGTGAATACAATAGAAATTATTATAATAATAATAATAACAATAGTAACAACAACAATAATATTAATAATAATAATAATATTAATAATAATAATAATAATAATAATATAATAATAATATAATAAAATAATAATAATAAGAATAATAATATTAATAATATTAATAATAATAATAATAATAGCAATAATAGGTCTTTCAGCAGCGGTCCTCCACTGCTTTATCGGAAAATAGAAAAATATAAAGAACACACTTTAGCATGTGATGGAAGGTTCTCTCCTCGTACATAAGAACAAAGTAAGCTCACGTTATTATCTCACTTCACTGTGTTTATACCCAAATAACTAACCATTACCATTCTGGTGTCATGTTGTTGCGTGTTTGTAATTACATGTATGAAATTACAGATTAGTACTTCTTGCAATAATTATATTCGTGATGTTTTATCTTTATGTATAAATTCATCCTGTTTCTTTATCGTCAACAAACGATTCTCCTTCTTTATCCAATGTTGTTTTAGTAGTAACATATAAACTGTTATCTGAGAGTTGTTTATATTCACTTCAAGTTTTCAGTGGTTGTAGCGCACACACACACACACACACACACACACACACACACACACACACACACACACACACACACACACACACACACACACACACACACACACTAGTAGATATCATTGCAGCAGTTCACTATTTAATTTATAAAGAAATACCTCCCAGTATCTCCCGGTAGGGATCGTTCTCAGAACACAAGTGTAACCATCATTCTCACCAATAAAGTCACCAATAAATCTTTCCCATCTGTTTGCTCGTATCTTTTACGATCCCATATACGGTTATCCCCGTATCCTTTCCTCATAAAGCCCAATGA